GAAAAAGATGCTGAAATTTATCATAATTGATTACCTACCATTATTAAAAATGTTTAATCAAGAGAAGTGGTTGGAATCTATAACCACTTTTGTTTGTCTCTTTCTTCAGCAAATGGTTTGGCTTGGCTGGACTTACAGCCTCACGCATAGAGGCAAGAACCGCAAATTTTAGTCGAACCGGGTTTTCGATGTGCCTCGGCTCGGTTATAAAATTAACGAGTTCCAACATCGGTTGGGCATTTACCGAGTTTAATAAGTATTATTAACAGTAAACTGTGCAAGGTAAATAACAAATTACATTGAAGGGTTTTTGATTTCATGCAGGAAATAGATTTAGGTTGAAATTGGATTTAAAGTGTGAGTTTGAAAAGATATGTATTTTAAGCATTCTCATACGTAGTGTTGTTAAATTAAACGAGCCTAGCTCGGCTCGACTCGTTAAGACTCGAGTTCGACTCAAGCTAGAACTCATTTAAAACTCTTTTGGTTAACGAGTCGAGTTCGGCCGACTCTATAAGATTCGAAAAGAGAATTTTCTATAGTTCGGCTCGTTCAATCTCGAGATCGACTCGTTAAGGCTCGAATTCGGCGTTAATAGTGATAAACGAGCCGAGCACAAATTCAATTTTTTGTCTCGTTTGTTTAACGAGCCAAACTCAGCTCGGCTCATTAAAGGCGTGAGCTTAGCTCGTTTACGCCTACTCATATTATTGGCTTAGTTTTCTATGGCAAAATTTTATTTTCAGTCCCTTTAACATGAGGACAGTTTTGAAAGAGATCCCACATGCATTCACTTTATCGAATGAAGTCCCATAACTTTATATATGGCTGGTATCGGTTCGGTTACCGAACCGATAACCTATTACCGATACCGAACCGACCACATTCGGTTTGACTAATATGCAAACCGAAACCGAACCGATAAGAATTCGGTAATCGAAAAGTCGGTTACCGAAAATCGATTCGGTTTCGGTTTATACCGACCAAAACCAAAACAAACCGAAAAATGGGCATGAAATTGAAATGTTAACAGATTACAGACTAACAGAGGGCCAGAGGCATGAAATCTAGAAGATCACACAAAAGAAGAAAGGCAAGACAGATAGGATGAAAGAGATTAAACAAGTTAAGCCACAGATTTATCCTCAGTCGTGCATTAATAAGAGAGGCAGTCTATTGAAATGAAACAAATAAAACAGAGGCATGGACACTTGAACAGAGGCACAACCAAACTTTCAAACAGAGGCATGAGATAGTAAGAGATTTAAGATTCAACAATATTAAAAAACATGATCTATAAAGGCACCAAGTCCCAACCCTATTTTCAGTGAAGTGGGTCGAGGGCTAGGGCTGAATGAGTGAATTCTGAAGTTTTGTGAAAATTGAAAATGACGAAATTGATGACACTCCCAAGTCCCAGCCCTATTTTAAAGGTTGTCTCTTAGTCTTGCCCTTATTTCTCTCCTTAGTCCTTGTAGGATTTATTTTATATATATATATATATTGTTATCGATTCGGTTCGGTAAAACCGAATCCTAATGGGTTCGGAACCGATACCGAACCAATAACATTTTCAGTTACCGAAAGTCGGTTACCGATACACTTGAGGCGGTTCGGTTTGGTTGTTTTGCTCGTCGGTTCGGTTCGGTTTTTGGTCAAAAAATACCAGCCCTAACTTTATATGTTAAGCAATAGTAGGATTAATTTGACCGTTAATTGTAGTTATCCCTATATACGATCCAACACCATATACATTCTCTCAATTTCCTTTATAAAAAATAATTAATATTAACTTTTTGATGAAACCTGATGAAAAATGAGTGTGGCATTTTGTTGGCCAACTTTTGAAGTTATTAAAACAAAAAAAAGACATGGCCACGAACAACTCGAGAAAAACTGATGAATCAAATGGGTTTTTGCTTAAAGACCCCGTTTTCTTTTCTAATTATAACACCACTCCATAAACACTATAGTATGATAGTCAAATGGTTGATCTCCAAAAAGCCCCTCTTTTCAAATCTACCATCTTTTTTTTCCTTCCAAATTTAGTGAAAAAAATTTGGCCACTTTATAATATATACTTCAATGCCACTTTTGCAACTTCTCAACTATCCATAAACCATAACCACAAACATTGTCCAAAAAAGAGAATATGGGACATTCATCTTATTTTCATGCAACACTCATGACAATTCTCTTAGTATCTTCAATCTTGAGATCAAACGCACAAATTATCTCCCCATGTTCAAGCTCGATGATCATAACCTCTTTTAGACCGTGCTTAAATTACTTCACTGGAAGTAGTGGAACCGGCTCGTCTCCAACCGAAGATTGTTGCAACTCGTTGAGGTCGTTTATGGTCAATAACATGGATTGTGTTTGTCTTGTCGTCACGGGAAATGTTCCCGTGTCGATACCTTTTATCAATGCGAATATAGCAATTTCTCTCCCGCGAGTATGCCAGAATTCGGTGCCCTTACAATGCAGAGGTTCGATAGCCGTTTTTATCTACCTATTTGTAAATCTTTCGTTACTCTATCGGTACAACTGTTGCTGCTAGACAAATTTTGAAAAGTAAAAATTGCATTTTTAATTTTGTTGGTTTAATAACGCCATAGCAATTTCAATCTGAATATTCCAACATTTTCGCTTTTGCCTCGTGATTTAATATTTTGCTGCTATTTCAGTTATTAGAGTATTGAAACTGCAATAAATTCCTAAATTTCTAGATTTTCGATTAGCAACACAGTCTAAAAATTTGCAGCAAAATTTTAAATCACAAGACTAAAAAAGTCGAAAAAAATAGAATCTTGAGACTAAAGTTGCTATGACGTTAAACTGACATGACTAAAATTGCATTTTTTGCCTCTTGAAAAATATGTTGGTTCGACGGGTGACTCACACAAAAAATTTGTGTTAGATTACTATATTCATTGTTTATTTTTTTCCCTTTATTTTTTTTTGGTACAATTACTTTTTAATTTTTAAATGTGTGTTTTGATCTCTTCAAATTCACTTAGTGCTAATTTTGTGTGTGTGTTTCTGCAGCCACCGGTGTTCCGCTACCGCCTCCAGGTATCTTGATTATATGTTTCATTGTATTACAGACTAATGATTATATTTTTGAATTTCTTATTCAATATTACAATTCAATTGTTTATTTATCAACTTGTTCATATAAGAAGTTAATTGATAATGAATATGTGAAAGTGAAACCAATTTGTAGAAAAAATCTCACATAAAATAATTGCCACGAGATGATGATTGACAGGCCCTGTTTTATTCGGCCCAACATCAGCTCCAAGCCCAGCAGGCCCAATTTTATTCGGCCCACCATCAGCTCGAAACTCAGTTGGTGCACTTGCTCCAGCTCCTCATAGTCATCACAGTCAAAATGGTTAGATCAATAGAATGATATATATATATCACAATAACTCAAAGATAAAAAGTAAAATGGATATCTAGATTCCATTTTTTTATATAAAAACTTCTATAACACAACTGATTCAGGCTCGAGTTCGACTAGGTAATATTGATAAACGAGCCAAATTTCTCAAACACTAGCACCTTTAATTAGTGCAGCTCGAGTTGGATTCAACTCATTTACACTAATGAATTTATGTTAATTTTCAGCTTCCAAAGCAATAGCCGTCCTGGCGGCTCCTCAGCCGGCTGAAAGCCTAGAAATTTCACCGGCGGCTCCTCAAAACCCCCAATTAGGCCCAGCCGCCAAGCCTGGGGTCAAACCGGTGGTCAACGTCAACTCGGCGTTAATTGTGCCTAAAATGCGATCTCTTGTACTTACAAATGTTGTGCTAGCACTTGTTACGTCTTACAAGTTCGACTTCAACTGAACATATTAGTTGTGCAACGTTTTGTTACGTGACACATTTTACCTAATATATTTACAATGAATTTGATACAACTTTTAATTTTTGAATCGATTTTGACTAGTCAAAATTGCCTACATGCAATATCATTTTGGTCCTAAAAATATAAAATAAAAAAATACAATATGATTTAGTGTATATCTCTAAGAGCGTATGCAGCCAAAAGAACTGATAACAATTAATTTTGTAGCATAAAAAAAAAAATGGTTCGCACAAATTCCAAGTGACCACCAATTTCGGATATAGATTAGATGAAATGAAGAAAGCAAGAGATATATATAGTAATGTTTAACCTATTGCGGTGACACATGTTAATATTTTTATCGTTTATGTGGCATGCACTCATTTGTGATTTATTTTTTTTAATATATTCACATCACCAATGTGTGCATGTCACATAAACGTTGACATATTAACATGTGTCCACCGTAAGTAGGGGATCATTATTCTATATGTATATATATACCATATAATATAAGACTGTCAATATTATCGCTTCACAACCAAATAGAAAAAGAAAAGATGAAATAAAAAACTAATAATAATATAAATCAATATGTTATGGTACACGTTTGCAACAAATTATTAGAATTTCTAATAATTATATGTCTGTGTGTTAGAGTAAGATAATTATGGGACAATAAGAAGAGATCCCATTAGTGTCGCACCTTAAATCGATCGAGCCTAAAACAGTACCATAATAAATTGAGAAAATTGATGGAATCTCAAAAGTTAAATGGGACGGGGTAAAAGACAATTAATAATTAATTTAGCTAAATAAATATGATAATTATACTTGGTACTTGTTACAGTGTTAAGTACCAATGAATTTGACTGCAATATATATATAAGAAATGCTACAGTTCCGTTCGAAATTATTCCGTTGGAGTTTATAACCGTTAAATCATCATATAACCCTTAAATATAGTTGATCTAACAATTACAAATCCCGACGAAATAGTTAACCGTAACATTTCCTGACCTCTAGGCCTAGGGGACCGTACCAGGTCACGTGAACGCGACCCTCCCCTCGCATGGCCATTATTTATGTATGAGTAAGTCACGTAATTAAAGAGTATATTTTAAAATTTAAGAGTAATTGAAGAGTAATTGAAGAGTAATAAGGGGTAGAAAAAAAAGAGATTTAGTTCAGTTATGGAATCATTTTATCGGATTTGTAACCTTTAGATTATCATGCAACTGTCAGAGATAATTGATCTAACAGTAGCATTTACCGTCCTTTCTCGAATTCTCCTAATCTTAGGCAAGACAGCTGTACTTTAGATTGCTCCTCTTTGTATATATGTACCTCCTCTGTCCTGAAATCCCCCCATGCATGCTGGCTCCTGCCTGCCTGTAGCAATACGCGGCGAAAATCTACGCATGAGGGACACGTGTATGCGGCGAAAATCTACGCATGAGGGACACTTCACAGGGACACGTGTCCTCTTGCATGGCACTCTCTCTCTGACTCTCACTACGTGCAACCCTTCTCATCTCTATCACTTACTCCTCGCCACACTATAAATCAAGCATCCCATCACACTTCATTTCCCATCAACAACTACCAAAAACACTTCCACTACATATATAAAAGCATCAATCATGAGTTTCGGAGTAAGAATCGGGTTGGCCCTCCTGGGCCTTATCCTAGCCCAAGCAGCTCTGGGCCTTGCAGACCACGACCCACGGCCCAGCAAGAGCCCGATAGAGCACCTGCGCGAGTGCACCAAATCGTGTGACAGGCAGCGCCAGTCTCCCGAACGGCAACAGGTCTGCAAGCAACGGTGCCAGGAGGAGTACGAAAGGGAAAAGGAGAGGTACGAAGAGGATATCATGACACGTGGCGAAAAGGAAAAGGAAAGTAGTAATAGTCCGTACGTTTTCGAGGACAGTCACTTTATGACAGGGATGAAGACACAGCACGGCCAGGTTCGGATCCTCCAGAGGTTCACGGACCGGTCGGATTTGCTCCGAGGGATCGAGAATTACCGGGTCACGTTACTCGAGGCGGATCCTCAGACCTTTATCGTGCCTAACCAC